CCCGCCCTTCTATTCACAATATGCAAAAGTCCTTACACTATTTACTCCAACTGTCCTTAGAATATGCCCATTTCATTTGTCTCTTAGCCCTCATTCCGAAAATACCCATATTTGCCATGCTACTGCAACTCCTTGCAATAGAGGCACAGCAGGAGCGCAAAACGAGTCCGTCGCACTTTTTCCCATAACTCATGAAGACGGGCTCCTGGACCCCCCTTCCGACCCCTCGTTGAAGAGGTCTTGCCAAGACCTATCGAAACCTTAAGTAAAAATTTTCAGTCGGTCGACCCCCTTTTTTCAAGATCCTGATGTGACTAATAGACGAAGTCGGGCTCCTGGACCCCCTTTCCGACCCCTCGTTGTAAAGGTCTTGCTGAGACCAATCGAAATCTACAATAAATTTTTTCAGTCGGTCGACCCCCTTTTTTGAAGATCCTGATCTGGCCAACTTGTAAAAGCGGCCGATGGGGTCGGGACCAGGTCCCTTCATCTTGTCTCGTCGCCCCGATTCCAAAAATACCCCTATGTGCCCTGCTAGCACCAATAATGGCGGAAATCCCCCTCCCGCTCATGTAAACCATGATGCACCTGCAGCAGCCCTTGTGCGACCCGGACGGGATTTGCACCACCGGATTATTTGTTTGGACGGTACTCCTGAAGTACCCTCCAAATCTGGTTACTCTAGCTCAACTCTTTCCTTGTACACAGACACCAACAACGACAACAACAACAACACACAGACACAAAGGCAAATGCATAGCCCCCCCCCCCCTATTTTTTGAATAGAAGGGCGGGCCAAAAACAGGTGAATTAAGAGTGCCGCAGCATGCAAACGAGACTCTGATCCACTGCTTTCGGAGCCACATAGTCTCATACACATACGACCAAGAGCTACAATCTTCAGAATTGAAGAATAGAGATTCTGATATCTTACTATTGTAGATTTGGTTGAGCAGCCATTTGAAGTAAAAAGTGCAAGTGTCACGAGAATTGTCAAGGAATTTTATGTGAAATGGTTTTTATATGTGTTGAAAGTGCTTTATTTGTGAAAACAGAGTAGGGTAAACTATACAGTTATCGGCAGGGGTACAGTTATCGTCATCTCGGCGATTAATTGGGTCCTGCCCTGCAAGTACGCGTCCGTTAGTGATGCGGCCAATGCAGGTCGCTAGAGACACCTTTTGAGCATGCAGGACCGAGAAAGCATCGCGTTTGATTGAGCATGTCAGCCAACAGAGCCATGTTTCTTGTAAAGTGCAGAATGAGGCCGCTTCGGCCGCCCGTTCTTATCTTCTATGCTAGGAACAGGGCTTCAATCTTTCGTTAAATTCGTAAGTGTGGGCCGAAAAAAAACTTTTCTCTTTGCTAGGTTCTTTCTCCCCATCTATTGAAGAGGGCATACTGTGCTTGGTGCACAGAAATTCCTCTTGCTTGTCCACAATCGGGGGGTGCCGATAACTGCACCAGAGAAATCACCCCAAACACAGTTATCGTCAGGGTGGCCTCAAGCTACACTGGTGTTTCGGGCGTCGTCCGGGAGATAATATTCTGATGCATCATGACCATAGAAAGACCCCTGCCAAATTTGAATGAAATCGGACCACTTTTTCCCAGTGATCTACGTGATTTACGAAATGTCCTCCTCGGCGCTTTGAAAGGCTGTTTTTTCGCAGCTCATGGTGCTAGTTGTCCGTGAGTCTAAAATGAAGGGCGCAAGAGGCATAACAGAAGATAGAGGGGGTTTGTGACATGTCGAGGCGTGATATATAGTGTCTGTGACGACTGTGAGAAATTTTCGTCACTTTCGGTCATGTTTTTTATTTTTAACAAGGGGTGCCGATAACTGTCATGAAGGGTGCCGATAACTGTATTTTGGCTGCCGATAGCTGTGTTTTTGGTAACCTTTTTCTCAGGTTAAATAAGAGCGTCACAAAAAGTTTTTGGTGAAATCTTTGTCAGGCACTTCGTTGTCTAGATCCCACTGAGATGTCTGGAACAAGTCGCACGGGTCTAAGTGTCAAAACCTACCCTAATGGCCCTTTAAAAGAAAGCGATGCTCTTAAACTGACGGTAACTGTATAGTTTACCCTATGTGTGTTAAGAAATTAATTTACTCTTATTTCAATTTTAAAGGCATCAAAATAAAAATAAAAAGTTTATTTCTGATGCAGTTTATGACTGATTCCGGTTTTGTGAGTTACAATGTATGTCTGTTGCAGCGCCCTCATATTTTACATATTTTATTTGTTTATCTAAAACAAAAATATTAGATTTCGTACTTTTCTTCTTGATCACTGGTAAAACTGACGCGTATGTTCAACGCGTACAACTTTGCTTCAAGACTGTACGCCCTTCTTGAAGCGTACAAGTCTGCTTCAAGATTGTACGCCCTTCTTCAAGCGAACAACTACGCCTCAAGGCCATTCCCCCCATGCATTAAGATAGGAGGAAAGAGGAGCATGAGCGAGGGGAAATCACTCGCGTAATAGTCGGGTCACCGATTCCTTGTATTACGCGTAATAGAAATAGGCAAAATTTTCAGAATTTTCCGTTACAAGGGTCTGATTTTAGCTCAAATCTCGATATTTACAAACGTTCTAGGACTTCTGTAATAGCGTAATAGTACGTAATCGGGAGTAGTCGGGTCACAATTTTTGAGAGTGATTTCCCCCTCGCGCATGCGCTTTTGTACGCTTCAGGAAGGGCGTTACGCTTCAAGAAGGAAGTACAGACTATACGCTTCAAGAAGGAAGTACAGACTGTACGCTTCAAGAAGGAAGTACAGACTGTACGCCTTAGTTTTACCAGTGAACCTTTTTTGTTTCAATATCAGTTTGTGTGTGTGTGTGTGTGTGAACGGACTGTCTTTAAAAGCATGGTCATTTTCAGGGTGTTTACATCGGCAATGGACCAGTGGATTGGAGCATGCCAAACGTTCCACTTTTTCCGTACGGTTTATACCTTTTCACCCTAACGGCCGGACGAGCAGGCTTCAAAGTGCCCAGTGTCTGCTTCAAAATGGAAGTTCATGTTGTGCCTAAAGCAGGATTATGAAAAATGGACAGGTAAATTCGTTACGTTGCTTTGCACTCGTGAATATTTAAAACGTTTCATAATAACTAAACAAATGTCAACTTTTATGAGCGCTACTCAACGTAATTAAATTGACAAACAGACCAGACATTCGTTTTGTCTTTGTGACGAAAGAGAATTCACTATCGGTCAGACAATCAACTTCCCCACTGTTCGTCCAAGCAAAGAGGAAAGACAGACCGCTACGTCGTCGCCCCGCGAGTGTATAGCGTCAGTGCTCCTCCAGCGAGATGGCCGTCCGGGCACGCGACCGAATCCCGATGTGAATGTGAATAATCTGTGTGGCTAAATAGGCGACCCTTGAAACGGAACCGCTCCGCGCGAGTTTAGTGGAGGTAGGGTAACGTGCCGAGTCACTGCAGTGAGATTCCAAACGCTATGAGTATAGCACGTATGGTGCAATGCTGCTGAGATATCGCACCACACGCGCAACGCCATAGCCATATTGCACCTTACGTGCAATGCGTCTCGAAAATGCCCTATGCTAATGCACGGGAATGGGGAGGCATTGCACTTCATGTGCAATGCTTTTGCATTGCACCAATTGACGCTATACTCATAGCGTTTGGATTCTCAGTGATGGCCAGGGTACCAGTGATGGCCACTTCACACTTTGCGCTCACTTTCCATCCAGGCCAGATTATTTAAAGAGTTGAGCTTTTGAGGTTTTGTACTGTCACCTATTGGCAATACAACGCCGAAAAAATTTCAGCTTTTTAGTGTTAAGGACGGCCGCACGGGCGCAGCGCGCTGACCACTGCGTTCTCGGCCGGTCGAACGTTGCTTTCCTTACCGGCCCAGATTAGCGCAGGCTTTGACGGCGTCGCTTGTCATTTGTGAATACAAGGTCCGTGCAGTAGAAACATCACGTCAGAAGAATCGAAAGAGGGCAAATTAACCAAAGCATGCAAGTTTTTTTGAAATTTCGTTACATTTGCGGGAATAGGGGTGGTGGCTAGTACTGGGCAGGCAAAACAGTGCACAGCCAGTGATGGCCACACTAGTGTTTTGAAGCAGACTTTGCAACGAGCGATGCGACGCCGTGCATGTCCGTCTAGTTTGTTGTCTGAAATATCTTGGTTTTGACCTGGCATCTCACTCCGCCTGCCTCATGGGGACCTGAATTCGCGGTACCATGGAAACTGTTTAGACACTGTATGTATAATAAATTTTGTTTTTTAGTCAAAATTTTAAACATGCAATAGAAACAATTCGATTTCAGAAACGTGTTCACCTCAACAAGATGAACAAACAAGCTAGTGCCCGCCCTTCCGTCGAACCGAGTTGCCAGCTCCGCTTCGCTGCGCCGGCAACTCGGTTCGACAGGGGGCCGGTCCAGCTTGGCCTGCCGGCGGCCTTTCCTCGGGCCTTCGGCCCTCGCATCAGACCCAACTTGGCCAGTCGAAGGCCCGGGCCTTCGGCCCGCTCTCATCACACACCCCGTGTGCGGGTAAAGCAAAGTTATCGATGTACCATCGTGACTTAGGCCCGCCCTTCTTTTCACAATTTGCAAAAGTCCTTACACTCTCTCTGGTGTTCCTGGCAGGGGTAGGAATGGTGTGGAGACCGTTCTTTAAGCATTCGACGCGTTTCTACACCATTCGCGGCATTTGCAGGCCATTTTTGAATGGTGTAGAAACCGTGACAGTCGGAACGGGCTACAAACGGCAGTAAATGGTCTGTACGCCGATTCCAGAGCAATTGCGAAATGGGGAAGGAACGCTTTAGTCAGATCGTTGAAAGAACGCTGGAACAATGTTGTGCATGCCAATGTTCAAATGCTGATGGAATTGTGAGACATTGGTCTGCAGGTCATTTCACGAACGGTGTGCGATCGGTGAGGAATAGGCTAGGAACGGTGAAGGAATGGTGACGGAACGGCGTGGATGCGAAGGCCTGCAGACCGTTTACAGAGCGTTTCCACAGCGTTTGGGAAATGGCCACAGCGCTCGCTCCCGCAGTGCTTGAAGAGAGCCATATGGACCACCAGTCGCAAGGAAGCTTGGTGGGTTCGGGGTAGCGTGCGCGCTCTCGGTCCACCAGGACGTGGGTTCAACTCCCACCGCGGGCGGCTCATGATTGCTCTGAGAATTGCGAGGGAACGGTGTAGGAATGGCGTAGGAACGGTGTACCAACGGTGTGGACGCTGCATGCAGTTCTTTTTGGGTTGGCTTATGGTCACGATCGGTGTAGGAACGGTGTAGCAATGGCGTGGACGCCAAGCGCAGCGCATTTTGGTTCGGCTTACGAATGGTCATGATCGGTGTAGGAACGCTGTGGAAATACGAACAAATGGTCTGCACACCGTTGATAGAATGCTGAAATGTTCACACTTGTGGTGTAGAAACGGTGCGTACGCCAATCAAGACCATTTCTGAATGGCAAGTAAATGGTGAGGTCAGCGTTTGGAAATGCTGTAGGAAATGCCGCAGGAACACCAGGGCTTTACTCCAACTGTCCTTAAAATATGCCCATTTCATTTGTCTCTTAGCCCTCATTCCGAAAATACCCATATTTGCCATGCTACTGCAACTCCTTGCAATAGAGGCACAGCAGGAGCGCAAAACGAGTCCGTCGCACTTTTTCCCATAACTCATGAAGGCGGGCTCCTGGACCCCCGTTCCGACCCCTCGTTGAAGAGGTCTCGCCAAGACCTATCGAAAACTTCAGTAAAAATTTTCAGTCGGTCGACCCCCTTTTTTCAAGATCCTGATGTGACTAATAGACGAAGTCGGGCTCCTGGACCCCCTTTCCGACCCCTCGTTGAAAAGGTCTTGCTGAGACCAATCGAAATCTGCAATAAATTTTTTCAGTCGGTCGACCCCCTTTTTTGAAGATCCTGATCTGGCCAACTGGTAAAAGCGGCCGATGGGGTCGGGACCAGGTCCATTCATCTTATCTCGTCGTCCCGATTCCAAAAATACCCCTATGTGCCCTGCTAGCACCAATAATGGCGGAAATCCCTCTCCCGCTCATGTAAACCATGATGCACCTGCAGCAGCCCTTGTGCGACCCGGACGGGATTTGCACCACCGGATTATTTGTTTGGACGGTACTCCTGAAGTACCCTCCAAATCTGGTTACTCTAGCTCAACTCCTTCCTTGTACACAGACACCAACGACAACAACGACAACGACAACAACGACAACAACAACAACACACAGACACAAAGGCAAATGCATAGGCCCCCCCCCTATTTTTTGAATAGAAGGGCGGGCCAAAAAACGGAAATTTTCGTCACGAGCTGGTCATACTTCGTTTTGAGCATCACCCGTGCGGCCAACAGTGCGTGAGGTCAGGTGAGGGCATGGTTTTAAAACTGTGCAACGCTCTACATAAAATTGTGCTGATATTTGCACAAATCCATGCATTCACGGGCTTACATAGTGCAAATTCCACTTATGCAACAAACCGTGAAAGTAATACACAGGGAATGAAACAGCCATGGTTAGGACAAAAATTTTGGGTGAGGAATACCTTATTGCACAAATTCACTGAGAATGAATTGGTCACCACCATCACCCTTTAAATAGGTGATGCAACCTCGTTGCCCAAATTTTGGTGACGAAAAATTCATCACCCAAAATTTGGTAACAGGCGTTTGGTCGCCCAAATTTGGGTAACGCCATCCGTCGACGACGCCGTGAGGTTTCCGATGACAGCCTTCCAGGGCCACCACGATGACCGAGGACTCAACGCCACATTGGGTCATCGTGGTGGCCCCGGAAGAGCATTATCGGGAACCTTACGGCATCGCCGACGGCGTTACCCAAATTTGGGCGTCGATTTTATGACTGTCCAAAATTAGTCACCACGCGATCGTCACCCAAATTTGGGCAACGGTGCGTGCGTTACCCAATGAAAGGGCGATGGTGGTGACTCTTTCATTCTCAGTGTTAATGTAAGAGAGATTTCCCACAGCAAATTTGGAGAATAATACTTCGTAGCCACACACGACCGGACCGTAGCTAATACAACTCGCCCAAATGTGGGTGAGGAAGGTTTCCTCTCACCCCAATTCGGGTGATAGAGTATACCTCAATACTCTTTCATTCTCAGTAAACACACAAAAAAAATATAGAAAAACACCAACGTACCCTGTTCTTCCTCCGCCGCTGCGACCTCCGCCTGCTCGCCCTGCCAGGCAGTGGCGCCTCCCTGCAGCGCGTCCCGCAGGCGGCCTTCGGCCTCGCCCAGCCGCGCGCGCTGCCGCAGCAGGTGGCCGCGGCAGTCCTGCGGGTCGTCTGCCTGCAGATCGCGCGCCGCGCCGTCCAGCAGCCCGGCCAGCGCCGCCAGGGCCGCGCCGCGCCGCTCGAGCGCCGCCAGCCGCGCCTCGTCGGCCCGCACCCGCTGCAAGCTGCGCACCGCGTGCTCCTCCACGCAGCCCTCGGTCGCCTCCCTGCGGCACGCCAGGCACCAGAAGCCCGCGGGCCTGCAACCGCAACACACTCGTGAACCGAAGTCATGGAAACAACACACGGCCCTCATGTCACTTTTTCGCGCGTTGGAGATTTTCTCCATAATACCGACGAAATTCGTCAATATATCTACTATAAGGTACAGTGAATGCTCAATGGTATGGTACGCAGTCAGCTGCACCACTATAACATGGAACACTTTCGCCATAATATGGAGAATCTTCACTGTAGAACATTTAAAGTGTGGCTGACAGTCTGCACACGGCAAGAGCGGTTCCTGGTTATACCAAGTGGATTGAGGGAGGATTCCCCATTCAACGGCTGTTTCCAGGGATCTTTTGCACTAAGAACAAGTCTACCTAATGCTTTTACTTCGTAAACCACACAGTCAGCCTGATGTCTGGAAATTTCCAGATCGCATTTCAAGAATTTATCTTGTAGAATATTATCTGGAAATGCCCTTTTTTGTCAGATATTGCCTAGAAATGTCTACCTTTTCCAGACAATATCTGTGAAAAGTCAAATCCCACATAAATATCTGGAAATAAGAAGGCCTTTCCAGGTAATATCTGGAAATGACTCAAAACCAGACAATGTCTGGAAATAAAGGCCTTGAAGGCCAAGTCCATGGCGAGGTGTCCAGGATTTGCGACCTGGGGGTCCCCTATGGTGTCCTCGAGGTCCTGTTCGTTTTAAGTGAACGCTCACCTTTGAAGAGTGCTGAGCAGCTTGAAGTCATCTTTCAAAGCGTCTGGCAAGTCAGGAAACTCCTAGACACACAAAATCGGTTCAACATGTATTTGTAGTAATTTCGAAAAGTAGGAGCGAAATCACCGCAATCGCGATTTCAGTTAATAAAACCAAAATAAAAGAAAACTGTTGGAGAACGGATCTCGACACAAAATGGCGAGACTCTTGTGTCTGCCCACGGCCTCTAGACCGTAACCGTCCGGCGCATTACGGTCTTTGGGTGGCGGCCAGACAGAAAAGTCTCGCCAATTTAGTGTCTGACCGCATTTTGTGTCAAGATTATTTTATCTGACCCAATTTCGGCGATACTTTTAGATCTAGTGTCGCCTCTGGGTCTCACCTGTGGAGTGGCGAGAAGTCTGACCATTGGATTTGTAGTGTTCTGAGTAACATATATTTATATTTAAGAACGAAATACGAAATTTTATGGTTGCTTGCAGAAATGCGTCTGCTTATAAGAAACAGTCAGTAAAAAGCTGAGAAAGTAGACAATAATTGGCGTAAACCGTCGGTTCAGTGAGGTGAGCATTGATCTGACGCGAGACAGCCTACTGATCTGACTGGAATCAACAACACTCTCATTCCAGGAACGTGACATCACGTTGAAACGAACGTGACAAAATGTCACGTTCGTTTGAGTATTGTGTCACATTCGTTTGGGTGTGAATTGGGCAAAAATCAGCTTGTTCACATTCAAACGAATGTGACACCATGCTCAAACGAACATGACACTTTGTCACGCTGAACTATAAAGTTGCTTACATAACTGCAAAACAGGGCAACCAAAATTGTTTTCGAACAACAATTTAATTACACTCCCGAAGTGTGCTTGCTTTTAGCAAACGGAAGTACGATTTAAGTTCCGACTACAGTGGAGTTATAACTGTATTCAAGAACTGCACGTGAGACTGCAATTAAACTATACCTGTACTGCTGTTGAAAGTGCCCTCTATACTACGTTTCGATCTACAGAGTTCAACTACATTTAAAGTACTTTTAAAACTGCCGTTTCTGAACTGCAGTTTTAAACTGTAGTCTGCACTCAATCAAAACTGCACGCCATTCCACCCGGAGACTTTTTCATTCTCAATGAACGCTGAGTGATTCCCTCGGTCCCGCTAGAATCTCCCGATGAAGGCACTCACTTTGTTGTCAACTGGGCAGACTTTCCCCGTAAACGGCATGTCGAGCAAGCACCGCAGGCAGAAAGTGTGGCCGCACGGAAGGACCTTCGGGCGGCGCTCGCAGGAATTGAACTCCTCGAAGCACATGAAGCAGTTCATCTTTAACGTGTAGTCGAGGCTGGAAGATGAAAGAAAAAGGGTTGAAGATTCTCTCGTTTTCATCTTTGATTCTCGATCAAAAAGCTTGCGTAACGTTGAGCTGTTCGTAAGAGAGATAAGGTGCCAATTGAGTACACTGCAAATGCCAAGGTGACTGAAGAATCTTTGTTGCCGATAAAATTCAGTATCGTCGACAAAAGGCTTCACCGTGAAAAAATTTGATTTCAAAAGGGCGTCACATAAAAGTATCGCCAAAATTTGGCAATTAACCGACAATAAGTCCGCTTAGTTGGTTTAAAGCTTGTTACCAAATCGTGTCAATATTCCAAAGTAGGGCCAAATTTTGGTGACACTTTTGTGTATCGCCGTGTTGCGGTTTCAAGGCAAAACTTATCCGTAAGTCCGTTTTTTGGCGATACTCAATAGTATCGCCAAAAAAGGTGAAGTATCACCTTCAGATTTACAGTGTACCGAACAAACGTGATAAAGGAAATCCAAATTTGGGTCACAATTTTACACAGAGGACCGACAGGGCTCTTTGACGTTTAGAGGTTATCAAAATTTTTCTTCACAACTAGATCACTGGTCCACTTGGAATCTTCAATAATCTCCTAGAAAAGCCAGTTTTCCCCGAAAGTTGAAAGACAGCCATTGTGAAAACAATCCTCAAGCCTGGCAAAGATCCAACGAAACTCAAGACGAAACCCGTATACTCTACACTCTAAATGTCTCACGAAGAAATTTCCCATAATACGAAGGAAATGGCGCAAGCATAATACGAAGGTGGTTTTTCTTCGTATTACGAAGGTTTTTCTTATCTTACAATGAAAAAGCTAAAAAGATTCGTATTACGAAGGAATATTGCTTCGTTTTATGCTTGCGCAGAATTCACTGTAACATATGAATAACATAGGTCAAAATTCATTGTTAGACATTTAGAGTGTGGGCCTAAGTCTACTGCGCAATCACAGTAAAAATTCTAGGAATAATCGCTTCGTAATAGGACGAAAATGAATGCAGGAGACCTCGCCTTCGGTATTCGGTCCTGTTAGCTGTTTCGAATGGCATATGGTCAAGTGGCTGGAGCCGAAGATAAAACCAGGGGGCGGCAACGGCCTAGGGAGCGCGTGAAAGCCATGCTCGAGCGAGGTGCAGGGTTACGGACTAGTAGACTGCCCGATACTTCCAATAGGGTACTTTCGTAGATCCCTGAACCAGAAGCACACAGACGCCATGTTGGCGGAAGTAGATCAACTTGACATAGGAACGAGACGACAGTCAAACGTATCGGCCACACTTGAACGTTAACAGTCGTTTTATACTTATGTGCAGTGCATGTGTGTCCCGCGAGCAACATTTGTACAGCTCCGCTATATTTTTAGATCCGGAGAGAGGTTAGTTTCCGGCCAATATGGCGTCTGCTTGCTTCCGGTTCAGGGATCTACGAAAGTACCCTATTCAACCGAACACAAGGGCGGAAACCTTTACATCAACATGGCGCAGACGAGTTTTTCCCTACATTTTATGATTTCTCGTGTTTCCAGTGTTTTCACTTCACTTTATTTTTAAGGTAAGGTGGGAGTGTTGAGAAGGGCAATGAGCCTAATTCACCTAAAATTTCAAGCCCTTTCTATCTGTGCAAAGCGTTTTGGAAAGCACAGTCTAGTTTTCATAATCTCGAAGAAGTGCTTAATCTCTGCACTGAGGGCGCGAGCATCGCTTCACGCTCTCCCTAGGCCGTTGCCACCCCCTGATAAAACGATATAGACCTCCGTCTGAACTGTTCTTTCTTTTCAAACTTTGCTGGTTGATTTTGTCAGAGCCAAGTGAAGACCGAAGTGAACACAGTACGAGAGAGTAGGGACGGCCGATACCTCTAAAAGTATCGATACTTGGGTATCGATACTTCCAACAGCCGAAGGTATCGGAGTATCGATCCTCGACCTCAAAAGTATCGATACCCCCGAGTATCGAGTCGATACTTTAAATGAACCTCAGTAAGTATTTCCTCAGTAAAAATTTCCAGTTTTTTAAGTGAATTTATAATCTAACATATCAAAACATAAGAAAAACTGGAAATTTTGGTTGCGCGACGAAAAGTTGCCAGTCTTCAGACCGCGCAAGCGCAGTGTCGGAAGGCGGGGCCAGAGTATCGAGGTATCGAGGGAAATCGACCCAAAAGTATCGATACCTAAAAGTATCGAACCCAAAAGTATCGAGTAAAAAGTATCGATACCTCCAAGTATCGAATCGGTATCGGCCGTCCCTACGAGAGAGGGTCTTGAGTACGCAGCGAGCCCAGTCTGAAGGCGCAAGGATTGAGCTATCCTAGAACTGTGCATTGATTTCCGGCAGCAAGGTAGGTGCACACTAGGCGTGGATTGCCGAAACTAGCGCAGCACCGCAAGACCTGGGACAAGAAACGGTCAGGTGTATACCCATCTTTTTAACTTTCAATAATTTGTAGCGCCCAGGCGGCAAGAGATATACGAACTTTTGGTGGTGCAGACCCACTGGGCGTCCCCGGCCACCCTTTTCCACGAGACGACTCAAAAGATGGGTCACATGTCCAGTGAGGCAACTCGGAGTAATATCTTTTAAAGTGGGTTCCTTGCCTCGATTTCGCCTTGAAACCGGGCTTGCAATCCATTCCCATCGTTTCCGGCTTCCGGTTTTGTTCTACTTTTTGTTCGTGGTTCTTTCCTGACTTCCTTCTTTCTCTGCCTCTACGTTACCCCGTGGCACTATACGCTTACTCTAGGCGGTAAACACTCGTGTTACACCCCGTAGACCATAACCGTAGGTTACGTGCACTCTAAATGTCTTGCGAAGAAATTTCCCATAATACGAAGGAAATGGCGCAAGCATAAAACGAAGGTGGTTTTTCTTCGTATTACGAAGGTTTTTCTTTGTATCATACAATGAAAAAGCTAAAAAGATACGTATTACGAAGGAATATTGCTTCGTATTATGCTTGCGCCGAATTCACTGGAACATACGAATAACAGAGGTCAAAATTCATTGTAAGACATTTAGAGTGTGTTTACGTGAATGTAATACCACTTTCGGCCTATATGTGCCAAATTATGGCATGAAGCCGTAGTACACGTGTAGTATCCCCGTAACACTGCGTAACAGCAGGTGGTCTTTGCACGGTTTCTTGCAGTGTTACCCCCTCGTGCGTGCTTCCTACCGAGTGTCGAGTGCGAAGGGAACAACGTGAAAAATTCATAAGCGGAGCTAGATTTTTCTCTCCCCGGAACATTCTTCCGCAACTCCTCTAACACGGGGCAAAAGTTCTGAATACAAATACAGATTTTTGAGACCTGATTTCAACTTTTAGTAAGTATCAGCTGTAGACCTGATTTTGATGGTACCTTTCTTTTTGGTGCGTCGTATTCAATAACTCAGACGATCTAAAACGACCTCGAAGAAAAGCAATTTTCTCTTCAGGGGGCAAGTTGGTCAAGTCTTTTCTTTATAAATTTACGATCAGATACCGTAAAAATAATTGAGGGGTCAGGAATTCGTGAGCCGTCGGCAAACTGTTTGAGTGAACTGAAGTCCAAAATATGCGAGACTGTAAAAGTCGTCTTGTCGTCTATAGCGAAAGACTACACTCTAAATGTCTTACTATGAATTTTGACCTATGTTATTCGTATGTTACAGTGAATTCGGCGCAAGCATAAAACGAAGCAATATTCCTTCGTAATACGAATCTTTTTAGCTTTTTCATTGTAAGATACAAAGAAAAACCTTCGTAATACGAAGAAAAACCACCTTCGTATTATGCTTGCGCCATTTCCTTCGTATTATGGGACATTTCTTCGTAAGACATTTAGAGTGTACGTAAAATTCTCTTAAGTATGTATTGCAACTGACTTCACAACATATGTGTTCCGAATGCCTTGGGACGAAACTCACGATTGTTTTTCCTAGGCCGCCTGGCGCGCGTGGTCTTTGGTTCACTCTGTGGGTATTATGTCAGGAGGTTTGCTACGTTTTATTTGAAACACCGAAACAAAAAGTTTCCGGGAGAGCGGGATACAACGTCTTTGAAATCTGTCATTTATCGTATTTATTTTCGAAGTTCTGTCTTTTGTTTGAAAGAGAGGCAAGAGAGGATTCTGATGACAGCGAGGGATGAATCACTCAGTGGTCTGTTGTACACATGAGTACACTGTTATCCAAGTTGCGATACTTTCAACACAAAAACGTGCGATGATATCCAAAATGCGATTCCCACGAGTCATTGCTCCTGAGATGCAAAGCCATCTGTACCGCACTAAATTCTGCAATGATCAATCGCAACTTTCTGCAATGAAAATCGGAATTATTGCAAAAAACTGCGACGATGACAACACATAATCTGCAATCATTACAGTTTTTTGCAATAATTATTGCAAAATTCTGCGATTGTAGCAGTAGCACGTCTCACCTTTTTGCAATCACAGGAAAGTGCGATGAAATTTGTATTGCGCAGAAAGTGCGGTCTGTATCGCAAGTGGAATATCGGTGTACGGGTGAGTACACCCTCTCATACTCGTAAATATCTCATATTGACACGTTTTATGGCTTTTATCGGTTTTGACTTCACACAACGCCAAATAGTGTGGAAGATAAGCGAATTTTGCTCTTTTTAAAATTGTGCGTACACTGAGTACACAAGTGATTCACCCCTCAGCCGACAGCCAAATTCGTTGCTGCGTTTGCTCATCCTGTGCACTCGAAATGTCTTACGATGAAATTTGACCTATGTTATTCGTATGTTACGGTGATTTCGGCGCAAGCATAATACGAAGCAATATTCCTTCGTAATACGAATCTTTTGAACCTTTTCATTGTAAGACGTAAAGAAAAACCTTCGCTTTACGAAGAAAAACCACCTTCGTATTATGCTTGCACCATTTCCTTCGTATTATGGGAAATTTCTTCGTGATACATTTAGAGTGTGCGAACTAACCATTGGCGGTGTTCCTTGCCAGCGCCCACTGCTCTGCCGCTCTGCCTGCCAGTCGGTGCCTCCCGTCGCAGTCCCGAGCCCCACCAGCCGCTTGTCCGCGACGAAGCCGTGACTGCCATGGACACGGCCACGCACGACGAAGCCGCCGCCGCCCTGCAGCGCGCCCAGGACGGCCTGCAGGTTCTGAGGTACGTGCGATCCAACACACTGAATGGCACGACAATATTTTGTCCCACGAGTCTTGCAACCTGGCAGACACACAATCCTATCACCCTCAGATGTAAACATTGCATTGTTCCTAGCACAAAGAGAGTCCCGTGCCATTTGATCCATGAAGCGGAAGAAGGGGATAACTCAATTTTTATCATTTTTCAGGAGAAACTAAAATTTGTTTGCAGGGTAAGCTTAATCCAATCATATTAATGATACAATTGCACTTTTGTCAAGAAAGCCGAAGAAATAACTGTGAAAATTTTAAAATTGTAGCATTACTATTTGGCCGTTTTCTGTGATTTCAATCCTTACGTTAGAACCATGTTTACTTAGTTCTCCCAAACAAGGCGGAATTCGGAGACAATTCAAGTGCAGCTGAGGTCTCCATAGAGTCTGTATTTCTGTGGCGCATTTTTGCAGTTACCTCAATTTTTTCCAACTAGTGATGGGGAGTTAAGTTGAGTTGATTCTTTTTACATTGGATTTTTAAAGTTACAAATTTAGTGATCTCCTTTCGCCATTTTGTGCAATGGAGTTGGACTTCGGTTGAGTAACCCCCATTTTCCGACAAATTTAGACCGTAAAAAGGGTCAAGTTGAGTTATCCATTTTTCATATGAATTTTCTCCCGAACTGTTAGGAATTGGGTCAAATATTTTGGTGTAATGATGCAAACCATCCCTTGAGGCACAATTATAAGGTAAAAAACTCAGTTTGGAGATAAGTCGAATTATTCCTTTCTTCTGCTTCATTGATCAATTTAGCGTCAACCCAATGAGAGAGCGTGTGGCTCCATCCCTGTAATCCTACATGTGTCAATGAACCCGTTTCGGATGCAATACATTTTATTTTGCATTGTAAGCGTAATGAGGGTCATTTTTGCTATCGGCAATATACAACTGCAATAGAATAATATAGCTCACACACTAACCCTTGGTTTTATCATTGGGCGAGAAAAATGTGGTTCGTCTCCGCCTCAAGTTGAAGTTCAACCAATATTGGCGCCTCAGGGTAATCTTGTAGCATATTTTTTGCGTTGTCAGTGGGTACCAATTCCAAACTTTTGCCAATTTCACTGACTCACCGTGTCTGCCCCCAGGACGTGGGCCGCTGGGAGTGGACGGGACTCGGCCGCACTCCGTGAGCACACTGCGAGGGTGGAGCGCCTCCGGGACTTGGCGCGGCAGGCCGAGAGGGAGGTCGGCCAGGAGGTGGGGCGGTGCCGCGCCGAGGAAGCGCGGCGAGGGCAGCCCGGCGCGGCGGAGGTGAGGCCGCCAGTCTTTAGCCGCAACTTTCACTGCACACTAAATTCTTATGGACTTTTTTAATGCATAAAGATGCATTTTTAATGAATAGTTATGCATGCGCAGAAACGTCCATAAGGTATGTAGAAAATTATGCATCACTGTGTACATTTTATGCATCTTCCTGCATAAAATGTACACAGTGATGCATAATATTATACATAACATATGGACGTTTCTGCGCATGCATAACTATGCATAAAAAAGTCCATAAGAATTTAGTGTGTGCAGATCTTTGCCGTGAAGTTGAGTTTGCGATGTCCGGGGATCCCTTACTCACCTCTAAAGGGCGCAACGTTGTCCTACGCACTAAATTCTTATAGACTTTTTAAATGCATAAGAACGCATTTTTTTATGCATAGTTATGCATGCGCAGAAACGTCCATAAGGTATGTATAAAATTATGCATCACTGTGTACATTTTATGCATCTTCCTGCATCTTCCTGCATAAAATGTACACAGTGATGCATAATTTTATACATAACATATGGACGTGTCTGTGCATGCATAACTATGCATAAAAAAGTCCATAAGAATTAAGTGTGGAAGGGTTTTTATCCGCATGAAAAACTGTGAAAAGCACAACTAAAGTATTATGGAAACTGTCACTCAAAAGTGCAACGAGTACTGTTGAAAGTTAACGAGGCATGGAGTGAACTGCACTCAACATGCCGGTTCGATAGTACTATGCACAACAATTGTTGTACCTTTCTAGTGCGAAGTTTTCCTGATAAAATCGAAGCGAACTAATAGAATAATCCTAACTGTAGGAGCAGATCCAAGACAATCCTAACTGTCAGTGCAGATTTAGAACCATTCCAACTGCAGAGGAACCCAAAGGTGTTTACAGTATGAGCTATCTTAGCAGGAAATCAGTAAATCTCTCTATCTCTGAAATACAAATGTCCAAACATTTTTATAAAGATAAAACTTCTTATCAAGCCCTTCGGTGAGTTGTTTTATAAAGTTTGTTGGCGTCACGGACTTAATGAAAGGACCGCTTTTTACGTCGTGCGCAGTTCGGATAGTTCTTAATTGACACTAACATTTAGGATTATTCTATTAGGACGCGTCGAAATATTTACCAGGGGTTCTTGTAGGTTCGTTGTGTTTTTTCCTAGCAGTGCGCAACTTCTTACTTATTCTGAAAACGAGGGTGTAAACACTCGCGTAATATCCTGTAGGGTCAGGGCGGGGAAGAACTGGACAGGGGAAGAACTGCACACTAAATTCTTATGGACTTTTTAAATGCATAATGACGCATTATTTATGCATAGTTATGCATGCGCAAAAACCCTCCATAAGGTATAAAAAAATTCTGCATCACTGTGTACATTTATGCATCTTCCTGCATAAAATGTACACAGTGATGCATAATTTTATACATAACATATGGACGTATCTGTGCATGCATAACTACGCATAAAAAAGTCCATAAGAATTTAGTGTGTGGACACCCCATATTTTACTTCAAATACTGTAGGCACAGGAGTAACAACTATCAAAAGTTGTTCCGTGGCATCAGCGGTTCATTTCACGACAGTTGTCAGGCCAGTACATACGGCATTTGAAGTAAAATGTGGGGTGTGCAGTTCTTCCCCTGTCCAGTTTTTCCCCTCCCTGACCCTATACACAAAAAGGCGTAATACACGAGAATGTAACACCAATTTGAGGTTAAACGTGCCAAATTTTGGCATCTTGAGGCAGTAGTATACGTGTAATGTCCCCGATATTCAGCGTAGCACCGCGTAAAATACGGTTGTCTGCTCACCAGTTCTTGAAGTGTTTACCTTCTCTCTATGAAAGGATTGAAATGTTTACTAAGGATTCCTGGCAATGTCGACGATTTGTCGCACCCTTTGCTATCGAGATTTATTTCTTACAGTTTTTAGTTACAATAACACGTTATTTTTGCGGGTAAAGGATCTTTTCTTGTACATCAAGAACCTAAGTTTCGTACCGTTTATTTTTGTTGTGCTTCAAACCTCCACTCTTTTTCTTGCAAATTTTTGCTTTCACTTTTTTACGGCTTGAGTGCAGTACTGTGGTTTGCATAGCAAAAGGGTCAGTCTCGTCGTCGCACGTTGCACTCTCGTTCCAGAAACGTGACATCACGTTGAAAGGAATGTGTCAAAGTACGTTCCTGTGAGCGTTGCGTCACGTTCGTTTGGGCGGGAATCGGCCCAGAATTAGCTTATTCACATTGAAACGATGATCAAAGGAACCTGACACTTTTGTCACATTCGTTTGAACGCGATATCACGTTCATAGAGAGAGTGTGCTCCGAATTAATGAGCCGACGAGCTACACTGTCTTAGAATTGAGGAGAAGATTCTCCGCGCCTTTGTAATTACTCTGCAAACCGAAGTGTGCCTTGCGGTTGACTCTACAAAATGCGTGCTCGACACAGACTGCACTCTCAGACTCGTATTGACTTTTTATCTTTTGCCATAAAGGTTTTTGTGCAAACGTAATATGTACTATTTTCTCTTTGGCTATTCACTATTTTGTTCCTTGTATAATGTTTATAGTCCATTAAACCGGACTTAATGTAATTTGCAATGTACTTTTCAATTTCTACATGCTCTATTGACAATTATATCCCTAAAACGATCAAAATTGTGCATAGTTAAGAAGGAAATAGTACATTTTACGTTTGCTCAAAAACCGCTATAAGCAAGAGAGAAAAAAGTCCATAGAGGTCTGAGCGTGTGGAGTTTGCAGAGAACCCCTAAAAACTCGCTGTCACTCAGTAATTGACATTCTGAGACTTTTTTCGCGTTTTGGAGAGAGTTTCCACCACACTGCAGCCTGTGACGACGACCTTGACCGCATCCTGTCGGCTTGCCCCAGGAGCGCCGCAGCAGCCCGCTGGAGTCGCTGCCGCCCGAGGTGCTGCACGAGGTGCTGTCGTACGTGCCCACGGAGCAGTTCCTGCAGCTGCGCCTGCTGAGCCACTGCTGGAGCCGCCTGGTGCTGCAGGCGTCCTTCTGGCGGCGCCGCCGCCTCCACGTGCCGCCCGGCAGCGACAAGCCGCCCTACCCCGGCATCCTGCGCCTGGCCCCCGCCCTCGGCACCCTGGTCATGCAGATGATGCCCGCGTCCAAGCCCCTGCCGGGACTCCTCTGCCTCAAGGCCCTGGCCAGGGGCCGCTGTCAGGTACGCCTCCAATTCAGGAGTACGGAAGGGGCAATAAGTTGCATGGTGTCACGTGTTTTACAAAATCAAATGTGTGCTTACACAGCTGTGGGAGTACACTTGCAAGTACACATCTAAAGATGCACTCTAAATGTCTTACAATGAAATTTGACCTAAGTTATTCGTATGTTACTGTGGATTCGGCGCAAGCATAACACGAGGCAATATTCCTTCGTAATACGAATCTTTTGACCTTTTTTATTGTAAGATACAAAGAAAAACCTTCGTAAAACGAAGAAAAACCACCTTCGTTTTATGCTTGCGCCATTTCCTTCGTATTATGGGAAATGTCTTCGTAAGACATTTAGAGTATATGTACTTGACAAGCATACATCTATGGATGTGTACTTGGGCAAGCATGCATCAATAGGAGTGTGCTGTCAAATGGGTGACATGAATGTGTGCTTGTTCAAGTACACATTTATAGATGTGTGCTTGTCAAGTACACACCAATAGATGTGTACTTGCAAGTACACTCCCACAGCTATATGCTAAGCACACATTTAATTTTGTAGTGCAGGAAGGTGCACTTTCCCCTTCGTGCTCATTGACAAGCGTCCTTCAGCGTCAAGTGTAGGGACCCTTAACTTACATCGAAAGGGCTTCGTAACGTTATTATAAGCGCCAAAGTTATGATCCGTAACTTATGACTTCTTAAAAAGGCAAAGTTGTGTTTCTTGTATCTCGAATTTACATTTGGAAGTATTTGCTAGAGTCTACTCCTGGAATCTGTAGGGAACATTGTCTTCTGTTACGTTATGTAAGCAGTGTTCGTTAAATGAAATGTTAGTTTAATGATCTCTGGTCAAGTGTACATGTCAGGGTTATGCTCCAGAAATGGCTATGTCCTGGAGGGAGCTATAAAAACCTTAAAAAGAGAAAAGGCCTCACTTAACAAACAATTTGAGCATACGTACTCTTTCAAAGAAACAAGGCCGTAATTTACGCACTATTTCTTCGTATTCCAAACTAAATAATTTGTACATTGCATATGTGCAAAATTCTTTGTAAAATTGTAATTGTGAGGAGAGCTTGATAATCGTCGGACCCAATTGAAGATTTATTGACCTTTCCGTGAGGGAGCGTGCACTGCCATCCAACAAGCGTGACGTGACGCGCGACCTTGAAGGACCTTTCTCCCTTGCTTGTAATGTTTCTTGAGCAATTACGTAAAATGTACACTGTAAATCCAAAGGCAATACTTTCGGTACCTTCTTTGGCGATACAATTTAGTATCGCCAATAAACGGCCTTACGGAAAAGTATTGCCTTCAAACCGGCGATACACAAAAGTATCGCCAAAATTTGGCGATACTTCGGAGTATTGCCACAATTGATCCAGGAAGCGGAAGAAGGGGATAACTCAATTTTGGCCATTTTTCAGGAGAAACAAAAAACTGTTAGCAGGGAAAACTAAAACAAAACAAATGAATGTTGCACATGTTAACAAGGTAGGTTTACGCCAGACAGCGTCTTGTCGTAACAGGCTTCGCGATGTCTCGCGGCCTGTTTCTCCAATCCGCGCCTGGCGTACCTACCTTGGCCTGCGGCGCTAGCCTGCCTTCGGCAGGCATTGGCTTGTCCGTCGGCGGTTACTTGTTGCATGCTGGGGGGCCCCCTCAAATATAGATAGAGTTGCTTCATCTACAGAGAACACGATCTTGACCCTCGTAACTTATTAACTTGTCGGGGCTGGGGGGCTCCGCCCCCCAGACCCCCCTTTCTTCACGACAGAGGTGATCTGCCTGCAGAAAACTCGATTTTTCGCCGTTTTTTAAGTGTTTTTCGGCTATAAAAACTGAACCAGTTGAGCTAGGACAGTGAAATTTCGCGTGTGGCGAGCCAAGAACATACCTAATAAGCCTGCAAAATCTCAGCCAGATCGGCCGAGCCGTTCAGGAGGAGTAGTGTACACACACAGACAGACAGACAGACAGACAGACAGACACACAGACAGACAGACAAAACTTTTCAACCGCACTGGAGTAACAGGCTTCGCTATCGCTCAGCCAATAATTTCAAAAAGCATTAGTAAAATTTTGAAAAAAAAATCAAAAGTGTAAGGTCACTCCGTAGAGGATTTCTGCGACTTATCACTTTCCGTTGAAATGGAAAACAGAGTCAGCTCACCTTATATTTCCTAAACAAAGAGGAATTTGGAGACAAGTCAAGTGGAACAATAGTCTGCATAAAGTGTATGTTACTCTGGTGTATTTTTTGGACTTAGCTCTTTTTTCCAAATTGAAATTTAAAATTTAGGGGGGGTTAAGTTGAGTTGATTCTTTTTACACTAGATTCATAAAAACACAAGTTGAGTTATATCCTTTTGCCAATTTGTCAAACGGACTCATGTAGACTAAGGTTGAGTTATCTCCATTTTCCAATGAAATTTAGACTGTAAAAAGGGGGTTTAAATTGAGTTATACCCTTTTTCCAAGTGGATTTTCTCCTAAACTGCTTGGAATTCAGTCAAATAATTTGGTGTAATGATGTAAACAATTCTAAGGCACAATAATAAAATAAAAACTCAATTTGGGGATAAGTCAAGTTATTCCCTTCTTCCGCTTCCTGGATCAAATATCTTACGAAGAAATTTCCCATAATACAAAGGAAATGGTGCAAGCATAAAACGAAGGTGGTTTTTCTTCGTATTACGAATAGTGTTTCTAATTTTCCGGAAAGATTCAACTTTTCCGAAAATTTCCTGAAAAATAGGAAAAATACGGAAAAATTCCAGAAAAATTGAAAAATTTGGAAAAATAGTGAGTTTTGCTGCAAAAATGTCAGAAAACGTGGTAAAACGGTGGGGAAACTTGTGTGAGGTGCAGGAAAAGGAAAACAATTAACCATTTTTAATATTTGCAGAAATATTATAGATTAAATGGATTCAAATCAACAAAATCAGAGTACGATGGAACAATACAGGACAAAAGTACAGACACTACCTCCTGTCTCCACTGTAAATCCAATGGCGATACTTTTGGTACCTTTTTTTGGCGATACAATTAAGTATTGCCAGTAAACGGCCTCACGGAAAAGTATTGCCTTCAAAACGGCAATACACAAATTTATCGCCAAAATTTGGCGATACTTTGGAGTATTCCCACAATTTGGCAATAAACGTTTAACAAATCAAGGGGACAAGTTCTTAGTTTAATGCCGTTTAATGCCGTGGTTTTGGCAATACCAAAAAGTATCGCCAAATTTTGGCGATATTTCTATGTATCGCCGTTCTGAAGGCAATACTTTTCCGTAAGGCCGTTTATTGACAATACTTATTTATCCACCCCTATCCCTATCCACATTGTGACATTTGCAGTCAAAATCAAATCTAGCGACGGCGACGAGATCGGCGGGGGCGAGTGAATCAATACTTAAAAGGTGGGCAGCGTAGCAACTCTTTTTAGCTTGCCTCACACTTGTGATGGACTACTGAGACAACACCTGACATTCGCCAGACAAGGCAACTGCTTATACCGATGCACTTACGTTTGTGTCCATCCCCCTCACTGCCTTCTAGAAGCTTCAGCAGGCGACCACAACCACGAAAGCCACGAAAAACAATGTTACGAAGTCATTGCGGCTGACTTTTGTGTTCAAAAATAACAGGAATTCAGCGATTTTGTCATGTGACTTCATTAACATGCAGAATGCGCATTTTTTGAATTTTTCCATCTTTTCCGGGGCTCTTGGAAAAATACGGAAATTTTCAGAAATTTTCTGCATTTTTCCCCGGAAATTTTCCGGCATTAGAATCACTAATTACGAAGGTTTTTCTTTGTATCCTACAATGAAAAAGTTAAAATGATTCGTTGTTACGAAGGAAAATTGCATCCGCCGAATTCACTGTAACATACGAATAACATAGGTCAAATTTCATTGTAAGATATTTCTAAAGAGTCAAGCATAAAGTTACTTTTGAAGACGTGACGCTTGAAATTACGCGGGAAATTCCTCAATGCATTTAGATATAGGAAATCTTGACCGATGAGCCTGTTACGCTTCACACTCAGACCTACATAGACTTTTTTCTCTCTTGCTTATAGCGGTTTTTGAGCAAACGTAAAATGTGCTATTTCCTACTTAACTATGCACAATTTTGATCGTTTTAGGGATATAATTGTCAATAGAGCATAAAGAAATTGAAAAGTACATAGCAATTGACACTAAGTCCGGCTTAATGGACTATAAACATTATACAACGAACAAAATAGTGAATAGCCAAATAGAAAATAGTACAAATTACGTTTGCACAAAAACCTTTATGGCAAATGATACAAAGTCAATACGAGTCTGAGAGTGTTGGTTTCAAGCGTAAACCAAACGCTAGAAAACAGAAGGTATTACTTCGCTTTGGTTTTACCAGTGCATGATTCGCGTCTTCCTTGTCGTGTCGGCAGATCCGCTTCTTGGACCTGTGGTTCACGGCCAGCACCACGTCCAACAGGCTCCTTTCGCGCGTGCTGCGCAATCGCCGCTCGTCGCTGCAAGAGCTGCACATCTTCATCAGCGGCTGTGCCTCCACCAGCAACCTGCTGACGGCCTTGGAAGCGGTGGACGCTCTGGAGGCGCTGCACACGCTCAAGCTCCAAGTCATGTCCCGCAAGGCCCTGGACTTCACGTTCAAGAACCTTCGCCTGAAGAGTCTGCAAGTCCTGGACTACGAGGATCATGCGGAGAAGATGGCCAGGGACCTCCTGCGCCTCGGCAGGGACACCCTCCTGGAGTTCGGCCTGGAATCGACAGGCAACTTGGCCGCCCTCAAACCGGAGATCGCGCAGTGCAGCAAGATCGCCGCCCTGGCAGTGGACTGTTGCGAAGATCTCGCCGAAGTGGTGCCTCTGCTCCCCGCGCTGGAACGCGTCACCATCAAAACCACCTCCACGGCGGCCGTGGCGTGGCTGGAGCGCGCGCGGAGGGACGGCTTCTCGGGGAAGGTCCACATGGAAGTCACCACCTACGACGACCGCAGCTTCCAGAGCCTCGTGGACATGGGGCCCGGCCTGCGCGGCGTGCACAGTGTGGCGGTGAGCCCCTCCGTGTGGGCGCTGTTCTTGGAGAGGGCGCGCCTCGCCGTGCCGCCCGCACTCGTGGCGGAGTGCCTGCAGCTGCTGCCGGCAGCGCAGAGCGTCGTGCTGGACGTGGACACGGACTGGCACGGCGTGCTGCTGGCCTGGTCGCCCACACTGGTGCCCAGCCTGCGCAGCCTCTCCATCTTCGTCCCAGACCCGCCAAACTCGCCCGCCCGCCTCCAGCTGGCACACAAGCTCAGAACCTTGCGTCCGGGGCTGGTGGTCAAGTTTCTGTAGTCCAGTGAGACTCTTTTTCTTTACCTCTGTGCAGTAACTGTATGTTGTTCCTGTTTACGTCAATCGGTATATGAGCGTATCAAGTACTAAATAGTAAAGTTTTTTTTCCTTTTCGGGTACTCGGTCAACTTGCATGCACTATGGTTAAGGCGTACTGGGCATGTTCTGCAGTCCAGTTCGCGCTCGCTTGGCCTGGAGACTCCGATAGTGCTCACTTCGCGCGAACACTCTTGTCGACGTTCCCTCTCTGTAGTTTGTCAAACTTGTACTTCGGAAAGTGTCACTGACCTGGTTTGTAGCTATGCAAAGCTTTGTGTTAAGTGGCAACCATTACGTGCTTAAATGTGCAAGACTTGAATTATAGTCGCAGGTATTGTCTTTTCTTGTGCGAAGTTCACATTGATTGAAATTTATCTTACTGCTGGCTCAGTAAGCAAACGCGGTCTCTGGAATCCAATCTTTGCTGTTTCCTTATGATTTGCCTTCAGTTAGCACAGGACTGTGATCGAATGGATATCATGGGAAATATATGTCAACGTATTATCCTGTTTATTTTGTCATTAAAACGTGCATTTGTTTCTTTTTTCTTTCATTTATTTTCATGTATACTGACCTCAGGGAATGTGTTGTGACCGCTGGGAGGCGGACTTCTGAAGGGGGCAGTCCTCGTCCCTGCACCGTTTTTAGGGGGTTTTTACCCCATCTTTAGATAACAATGACTTTTCCAATATACCTCTTAGAGGCAAACGGTAAAAACCAAATCAAAAAACAGAGTTTTTAGAATATTTTCCAAAAAAATATTTTGTTTTGTCTCAAGTTGTGAGGGATGGGCGATACAACAAAAGCCAACAAAACATGCCAAATTTCACTGCGCGCAACTTTTCTCCGAAAGTTCTTAACTTTTCGGCGATCTGTTTGCGGCATCTTAAAGATTAAAAAATTCTCTTTACTTGGGGGGGGGGGGGGGGGGGGGTAAAGTGAAATTTGTGATTTTTTTTCATAATTTTTTTTTGCTGCTTCTTATTCTGACTTAACAGTCACTCTGACTTTAAAATGGACATGACCTCACTGGATTCCCCACACTTTTTTTACCCCTTTACCACCTTGAGTTGAATGTTTAATGTCACTTTTTGGCTGAGCGATAGCGAAGCCTGTTACTCGGGTGCGGTTGAAAAGTTTTTCCTGTCTGTCGGTCTGTCTGTCTGTCTGTCCGCACTACTCCTCCTGAACGGCTCGGCCGACCTCGGTGAGATTTTGCACACTTCTTGGGTATGTCCTTGGCTCGGCACACGCGAAATTTCACCATCCTAGCTCAACAGGTTCAGTTTTTATAGGCGAAAAACACCTAAAAAACGGCGAAAAATAGAGATTTCTGCAGATAGACCACTTCTGTCTTGGAGAAAGGGGGGTCTGGGGGGCGGGGCCCCCCAGCCTCGACAAGTTAAAAAGTGAAAAGGGTCAAGATCGTGTTATCTGTAGATAAAACGACTCTATTTAGAATGTAGGGGGGTCTGGGGGGCGGAGCCGCCCAGCATTCAACAAGTAAAAAATAACCGACAACGGACAAGTCATTGCCTGCCGCAGGCAGGCTAGCGCCGCAGGCCAAGGTAGGTATGTACGCCAGGCGTGAATTGGAGGAACAGGCAGCGAGACATCGCGAAGCCTGTTACGACAAGACGCGGTCTGGCGTAAACCTACCTTGTCTATTTTTGACCATTTTTAAAGAATTGGTCGACGTTTGGGATAAATTTCTTGCGCCCAGGATTTCTCAGCCAAATGTTGTTCTAGACACCCGACAAAACTCACGCATTTAAATATGGTCAAAATGAAGAACGCAGAGAGGCCACATTTTTGAAAAACCTCTTCTATGACTTTGAATCTTATAAACTAGAATCATGGCAGTTTTCATGCCGCTTTTGGACAAATATTTAATTGTATCTAAAGATAATTTTTTTTTGATAAAAACTCTCGCTTGTCTCCTAGCTATTTAAATAACGATCATTTCAAGCTATCACACAAAATTCTATCTCTAACGGAGCCCAAGATATCCTGCGCGCAAAGTAAAAAAATGTTACTGAGATAAACACGTTTAAATTTTCAGGACAGTTTCATAACAGTTTATTGGCCATAACTGGAAATAATAAATTCAAATGACTAAAATTCTCCAGCAGCATAACTAGGGCCTCCCTCCTGTGCATCTAGAATCTCTTCACGAGCCTTCCCAGCCAACCTCCTGGCTCGACGGGCCTCCTTGGTCCCGGCCCGTTGGTCAGCCTTCTTGATCCTCGCTGCATCCACTGAATTTGCCCAGTTGATCATGCCTTCCAGCAGTGACTCCTATCCTTTCCAGCACTTGAATCTTGCTTTTCTGACCATCATTGAATGTAAGGACGGCTTCATATGTTCCAAGTTCAACCTTAAGACGTTGACAAAAAATAGTTTTTGGAACAGCTTTCCAAACCAAAGCATTAACACTCTCATTAGGGTTCTGTGTCATTCCATGAACACATTTCTGCAAGAGCTCATCTTTTGTGAGGTCTACATAGACTGGCTTGATAGTATCCATGACAGCTTCAGGGAGTGAAGTCTTATGTTTGAACTGTTGTTTTAGTGCTTGAGTTTTAATGGTTTTGCACCATGAACTTTCACCCTTAGGACAGAGATGGTGCTGTGGTTGAAAAAAAAGTGAGCTCAAATTATTATGCAAATGAGTTCCTAGTTTTTGTTTAATATACTATTTATGCTTTACCTGTAGTGATAGAAGGCAGCCCAAACTGCATTTCTGATTGAATCTAGATCATTATTACATCTTATGGCATTTCCATAGTAGGTAGCGAGCTGGTCTATTTTCTTATCGGTTAGTCTGCCAAGACCTTCCAAAGGTATTCCATCCTTCAATTTTTTCCCCTTCATGCCCTTTATAAGTTTTCTCAGTCTAGTTGGCATTCTTTTTTGAACATGGCCAACACACTCAACGGAAAGAAATCAATTAGAAAAAAACTTAACTTAAAAATATTTAGCCAAAACAAATCAATGGTTGAATAATATTTACCTTCTCAGGAACGAAGTCATCGCCATATGGTTTCTCATCACATATGAGTTTGTAGGTCTTTGGATCACCATCTCCGATAGACTTTTCGTAGCGAACATTTCTTGTGGCAACAGACCGATTGAAAATGTTGAGCATTCCAGTCACTTCCATCATACCAGAAGAGCCCTCATGGTTGATAGCACATACAGGGATGTGAGCGGCGTTCCACTCATCGTACTCAGGCCCTTCTTTGGGTCCGGAATATAAGGAACAACGAATGCAAACTTTGGCCAGTACATCAACATCCATAACCTTACCAGACTTTGTTCCTATTAGGGACACGATTCCACTTTTAGAAACATGCCATCGTCTCTGCCATGACCCATCTCCACTTCCATTTATATCCCTGCTGCCCTCCAGTTCAGCTTCAAGTTCTACTCCACGCAACATGGACATCTCTGCTTCATCTTGAACATTTTTTTTTACAGCTCTGTCATAGGTTGGATTGGACACAGGGGGAGGAAAGTCCATTAGAGCACAAATTGTCTTCAATCCTTCATGACCTACACCAACAGCTCGGGTTGAAAACACCACTCTTCTGTTTGCTTCTGCTATTACATTCGTCAGTCCCAACATTTTCCACAGTTTCTTAAAGATTTCAAAACACCACACTTTTCACAATTGAGTTCAAATTTAGAGCTAAAGGCCACACACAGTAACCTCTGTTAGTTTCACAGGTTTTCTACAGCTTTTGCACCGAACACATTCAAAGAGCTCTGCCACAAAGAGATCCAGATCAATGACTCTGAAGCCTGACTAATTTCTCCGTGCCTCACAGACTTCTGCCGGTTCAAAGGACACTTTACGCCTTGAAGCACTGGACGGTCTTTCAGGGGTACCAGACCAATCTCTTGCGTGTTGTTTGGCCAATTTTTGTGCTAACTTCGTCCTATGCAAGACTTCCACAGTAAATAGTCTCCATTCTCTAAAAAATTAATTACCACTGCCAGTCAGTCACATGTCAATGCTTTTCCTTTATAATATGCGAGGAGGTAAACAATCAAAGAAATCATGTACAGAGTACTCGGTACCATTGCGCAGTATTACAGGGATATTATTCGTGTGCATTACGGCATTAGAATTACAAAATTTGGCACATTTGGCCTAAAAAAGGTATTACTATTACGCGTAATAAACGGTTTTTGTGTACAGGGTGTTACACGAGTGTTGACCCGTTTACACCCTCGATAATGTGAGTCTTTACCTGGACACTACACAGTGAAAGCCAGATAAAGTTTCACAGCGTGTACACTCTAAATGTCTTACAATGAAATTTGACCTATGTTATTCGTATGTTACAGTGAATTCGGCGCAAGCATAATACGAAGCAATATTCCTTCGTAATACGAATCTTTTTAGCTTTTTCATTGTAAGATACAAAGAAAAACCTTCGTAATACTAAGAAAAACCACCTTCGTATTATGCTTGCGCCATTTCCTTCGTATTATGGGAAATTTCTTCGTAAGACATTTAGTGTGTAGTTCGCACGTGGGGTATTCCATGCCAAACCAACGAACTCTTGCAAATTCATCTCTTCGATTTGGATGACACTTTTTCTAGGGGTACGGGTCATTATAAAAAGATCCCATGTCAAAGGGTTTCACGATATCTGCCCCGGTTTGGCTGTAATAACATAGCGAAGTTTTCACTTTGGTCAGAATCATGATATTTTCTATACTGTTCTCCGTACTTACTAAAAGTTTTTAGAATTTTTCCGACAATGGTTCTTTACGTAAAAAGAGCTGAGGAACACGATGGAAATAGTTTCGAGACGATTGGGTGAAGTTTTGATGTCGCTATCTCCATTTACCGTAATTTATTTTTTTTTTCGAAAAATTGATATTTCCAAAAAAAGGTTATCTTCAAATTCGATGTGGCTTTCCTCACATGGTCCTCTCACATATTGCAAGAAAATACTAAAAGGATTTGGTCGGCCCACCGTAAGTTTTTTTTTTTCTGGTTAAGAAAAGTCATTTTGGACAGTTTTGAAAATTTACCCTCGTTTTCGCTTCTCTCATACTGAAATAGGGTGTAAATTTTCAAAATGGTTCAAAATGACTTTTCTATACATCAATGGATTCGTCTCGACGAGGCAAAATTTAAGTGCTCACGGGTCATTAGCTTGGACGCAAACTCAGAAAGTTGGTTCGAGAAACCAAGAAAAACGGTCAAATTGTTTCATCTTTTCTTAACCAAAAAGAAAAACTATACAGTATATAGTAAATATATAGTAAAAAGTATATAGAACTATGGAGCTAACTAGGGAGCTGATACACTCTAAATGTCTCACAATGAAATTTGACCCATCTTATTGGTATGTTACAGTGAATTTGGCGCAAGCATAATACAAAGCAATATTCCTTCGTAATACGAATATTTTTAGCTTTTTCATTGTAAGGTACAAAGAAAAACCTTTGTAATACGAAAAAAAAAACCTCTGCTGAGAGCTTTGCTTCAGCTCAGGGCCAGGTCAAGCTTGGGTGTGCGCGGC